CCCCCCCACACACACTTTCCAGGAACTGCGAAAAACCATGAGAACTTGGATGTGACTCCTTCCCAGGTCGAGCTTTGAGATGAAGCCAGTGACACCAACACCTTAATTACAATCTTTTCAGAGGACCCAGCTGAGCTGTGCAGGGTCCTGACCACAGAAGCTGATGATGCAAACACGCGCTCTTTTAAGCCATATGTGTTTGGTAATTAGTTGCGAAGCAATTGACCATGACCCGACCACCCCAGAGCCCTCACCAGCAGTCAAGTACTTTCTTTGGCCTGTGTGAAGGGCAAGGTCCTCTCCCCTCTAACTCAGGGACGGCAAAGTGATTCTGCTTCTTGTTCCGGTTCTCTTTGGCAGTGGGGGGGTCATGTTAGGGACCTACAGGTAGCATTTTATCCTTCCTCCTCTTGGTTCCCTTGTACAGTTCCAGAACCAGATGAATAATAATAATAAAAAAATCTCTGTTCAGAACCACTGAAGCTTTGCTGCAGTGAGCAGAGAGCTGAACTGGCTCCAGGGGGCGAGGGCAGTGGGCAGTTTTGCCTACAGGAGTGGTGATTATTAACAGTGGTCTTCCTCAGACAGTGCTTAGCTGCTTATGGGGTACAGGGATCTTTTGAGATCAGCTAGTCTTGCAGCTTAAACCATCTGAAGAACCACAGCACAGGCGAAGGAAGCCTGTTTCTAGCTTTGCCATCAGCCCAGCCACCTACCAAGTGCTAGATTAGGAACCAGGGTTCCTTGTGTGTTCCTGAATGAGTCTGGTCAGGCCTGTAGGTTGTGACTGCAGAAGTCTGGATGGAAACAAAGACGCCCCAAAGAGTGTAAAGGCAGCGTCTGAGCGAGGGGGTGAGCCCTGAGAAGTCTGCCTTCCAGCCGTGCCGTCATCCCCAGAAGGGCGTGCTCGGAACATAATGGCTCTGGCTACAAATTCTATTAACTCTAATAGTTGTTCTGCGGTGAATGGATAATGCATTTAGCAGGAATAGAGCCAATCAATTTATGTGAGACACATAAAACTTTCTCATTGGAATTGGCATCTGTTCTTGAGTCACAGCAGTGTGTGTGTGGATGCCATGGCACGTTAGGGTGCCCAGCGTTAATGAGAGGTCGGGGCCCAGAGCAGCTCTGCTGGTGGGCAGGAACAGGATGGGAGAGACCTGGAGACTGCCAAGTCTTGACTTCTAAAAGCATCACTTTCTCCGCCCTTGCCTGTGTTAGCGCTCTTCCACGAGGCCTGCTACCTGTGGGTTTGCTGACTGGCCCTGTGATAGATGAGGAGGTGGAAAGCCGTGCAGAGGGGCGTCGGCCCTGGGAACACAGTTGGGGTGAAGGCGGGCCAGGGCCAAGCACAGTGTTCTGAGTCCCGGTCTGGTGCTGTTTTCATGCTCCGGTGACATATTTCAACCGTCCCATGCATGCTTTAGCAAGAGGTGCATGCTCAGAAAGAGGCGAACCAACCACCTCCAGCCAGCTCAGAGGCCGAGGCTGTGGCCGGATGCCAGGGCTCCAAGAGCTGTTGATACGTGTGGCAAGGGCTACGCTTTGGGCTGGTTCTCAAAGAACTGAGCTGATTCCAGCCCAATCTCCCTACACAACACGCCACTGGTGAGAGAGAAGGGAGCCGAGCGAGGGCCACAGGGCTGAGGGGGTCCTGCCAGTCTCTACCTGGGTTTTTAGGGAGAAGCTGCGGTATAGGCTGCTTGCACCTCCTCACCTCTCGTGAAGGCTCAGCACAGAGAGAGAGCGAGAGAAACTCGAGCTTTCCAGCCTGAAGGCTGCATTATCCAACCATTTGGTTAGTGTAATTGTATGTGCAAAGCTGACAAATGCAATTTCCCTGGACTTAATTCTTGCCCCATTTTCTCTGTTTCTTCATCTGATTAGCTAAAGTGACTCAGAGGCTTCCGAGAATGCTCTGTGAAGCACCTGGGCAGGCTTTTCTCTGCCTGGATGCTCGGCATTGCTCTAAGGTTGGGGGTGCGTGAGGGAACCCCCAGGCCCAGAGGGCTGGCCCTCGCTAGAGGGGAGGGCTGGCTCGGGACTTGTGAAGTCGTTGAGAGTGACTTTCCAGATGCCCCACCTGGCCTTGGTTCCCTGGACTGGCTTTAGCAGAAGCTTGGCTTCCAGCACAGCAACACAGCGCTGAGCTTTAGGAGCAAGACCTTAGTATCTTGTCTCCTCATCTTTGGGGCGGGGATGAGGGTGGAAGGGGAGGGGTGACTTGTTCACTGGCCCTCAGGGTCCTTGTCTGAACCGTCTTTTCAGTCTGTGAAGTTTCTCTCCCACTGGAGACCTGGATACCAGCTTGAATGCAGACTTTGGGGCCAGTGTGGCCCCACTATCCACCAGCTGTGGGGTTGACATTCTTCCAGATCATTCTCCTCATCCTTGCAGTGGCAGTAAGCGCAGCTGTCCCTGGGCTGGAGGCAGGAGGAGCCGATACGGGAGACCCTCAGCCTGGGCCCAGTGTCCTCATGGACTGTCCCTTCCCTTCCTCTCCAGGGGCCCTGGTGTCCCTTCCCTTCCTCTCCAGGGGCCCTGGATGCTACTGGCCAGGGCCTGCAGTGCACAGGCTTTTCGCTCCCTTAGCACAGAAACTAGACACTGAGCAGCTCACTTTGTTTCTATACCAGGCCCCGGGGAGGGGCCGGGGAGTGCCGGCCAGGTGATTACCTCTGAGCAGGCCCCGGCCTTGGCCTCCCACAGCAGCAGGCGCTGTCCCCCTGCAGGCCGCTCCTCTGCACGGCACTGCCCTCCTTAGTTGCTTGTCTGCACGGGCTCTCTCTTCTAGACTGTGAGTGCTCTGACCTCTTGACCTGTGTCCTTGTCTGCTCAGCATCACTGAGCACAAACCTGGCTCAGAACAAGAGAAGGACAGTGGGAGGGTCCAGACTAAGGCGTGGGGATGGTCCTGTACATGGGCCCCAGGTGGGGCCCGTCTTCCTGACCATGAAGCCAAGAGCCGCACAAGTCTGGGTTTTGGCGGATGTTTTCCTGTGGGTGCGGGGCTGGGAGGAGACCCTGTTCCTCTCTTCTCCCATCAACACCCCCAGTGAAATTAGAGACACCCAACCACAGGCTGCTTGGACCTGCAGCAGGAAGGACAGGGAGAGCTGCCAGGGCGGGGTGAGGCTTCCTGCTACTGGACCAGGCAGGGAGGGGTGCTGCAGTGTAGTCTTGCATCTCCTCAACTGGCTGCTCCCCTCGGCGAAGCAACCCTGGGTTCTGGGAAGGCACTGGCTCTTTATTTGGTGCCCACCAAGGTGCCCACTAGGCCGCCTGGACGTGTGTTTGAGTCAGCGTGTTCTTCCCTTTGAGGTGGGGTCACTTTGGAAGAGAACAGACACTGACCAACGCCACCTGCACGTCACTTCTGCCGTGAGGTCAGCAGCGGGGAGGCTGGCCCTGCGGCCCTTCATCCCCAGCCTCTCAGGCGGCCACTGGATTCTCACTTTATTTGAAGGTTGGGGGAAGCGGCATGGGCACTGAGTGGCGTGTGATTTCATTAGTGTGAGTGGCCATCGGGCAGACCCTTATCGATTAGCCTAGTAGGGGCGGTGGGAGTTAGATGGCAATAAATCCAGATGCAGGCAGGTGGGACGGCTGTTTCCTAAACGCTGCTGCGGGGGAGCCGGCTGCAGCCGTCTGAGCACTGAGCTCAAGCATCAAGCGCGCACTGCTGAATCAATAGGAGTTTCCGGAGGCCCGCTGTGGGGTCGGCACTGGCGCTCTGGTGGCTTGTCCTGATTTACGGCAGGGGACAGAGCTGGACAAGAACTGGAGAGCGGAGGAGAGTCCTATGGGGCGGGTGTGGCAGGCGACTCCCTGGGCTTGGTGGGCAGCTTGTGGGAAAGCGGAGCCCAGGCTTCTGCGCTGGCCTCCTCTTTGTGTGGGAGATGAATAACCCCGAGAAGCCTTGGGTGAAGGGAGCGAGGGGAGGTGGTCTTGGGAGGGGGAACCAGCTCTCTTCCCTGGCTCTGGGAGCTGGGTTAGATCAGGCGGGACTCAGGAAGGTGCGAGAGAAAGGGAAGTGTTTCTTCAAAGACAAAGACAAGCTGGTATTTACTTACAAAACTGAGTGAATGAATTTAGTGACCAAGGTATAAGCGCCTGTGTCTTTTTTGTTTTGGATGTTGTACTGAACGAGGATTTCACATTGTAAGAGAAATCAAAGGTTTATCATCTATCCGTCCTCATTTCACCACAGAATCGTCTTTTCTGTGGAAGAGCGTGTGGACCTGGGCGGTGCAGCTGTCCCCGTGCTGATGCTGGAAGCATTTGCACTGTGGGCACCAGCACCCCGTCCCCCACCAACGACCCCCTGAACTTGTCAGGCCTGGACTTCCCAGCTCCTTTGGGGTAAGGCGCACAGCCCCTGAAACTCCCGAGGAAATCATACAGGTTTGGATGCGGACTCCAGGAGATTTCCTCCCGGCAGAGTGGCTGAGCAGTCACACCCACAGCTGCGGCTCAGAGGCTGAAGTGGCCTGTGCTGGAAGCAGCAAGACCCCCTTAGCCCCCGTCAGAAGTCTTTCAGCCTGGGGTGCCGCATTAAACATCTTTGGAGGGGAGCCAAGCTTTAGGGAAATCTATTGAACCAGCGGCCATGACGGCTAGCCTAACTTTGCACAACAATTGACCTTAGCTTTGGGCCCAAGGCCCTTTCTGAGAAGACATTTGCCAGAAAGTTTGCTTTCTTCAGTAAGTGAGGTGCAGTATTTAGGGGCTGAGTGGAGAAGACACAGCTGGTTATCCCACTGGTGTGGAGCATGGGCGTTTGTTCTCCTGGTGTGGAGAGTTTCTCCCCTGCACACCTTCCAGAAGTTCCGGGCAATAGGAGAGCCAGAGAGCTTCCTCTTGGAGCCTACTAAAGGTTGCCTATTTGATTCTTTAAACATGCCTCCCACCCCAACCACAGCACATCGTTTTCTCTTGCTTTTGCAATTAAAAAACAAAACAAAAACTTTGCTCAAATTTGTCAGTTGAACCATTACCTGTAGGGTCAAAGGTGGGGGTCTCACTTGGCGTGCTTTCCCCGGTCTTGGGCTCCTTGCTTGAATTTCTCTCAAACAGATTTCTTGACTTGGGTGCTTCATTCTGTGGCATCTTGTCCTCCCCACTGACTGGAACAGACCAGACCCCATAGGTTGGGTTAGGGGCGGCTCAATTTAAGGGAGAGAGGGGATCCTGTCCTGGGAAGGGTGGGTGCCAGTCAGGCTGGGGGAGTTCAGGGCGAGTCTGGCGTGGGGGGCCAGTGCTAGGAGCGGGGTGAACTCACTGGTGAGGTAGCAGTCCAGGCTGATGGAGATGTTGTCAAAGGCCACAGTGGCTCTGGATCCTCGTGCCCACCACGCGACAATCTGCAGCCAGAACCTGTAAGAGTGTTGGGGGCGGCGAGTCAGGAACCACCTGGCTGGCTGTGTCTTAGGATTTGGTAAACGTGTGTCCACTGTCCCACTCACGGCCATAGCTTTTACCAGGGCCACTTAGTCTCAGAGCAGCAGCGAGAGGAGAGCAGCCAACAGCAGCTACATCTCCAGCAGAGATGTACGCTGACCCAGGGGAGCTGGGGTCTGGGACACCTCTTGTTTTTTTGAAAGATTTATTTACTTATGCATACAGAACTGGGGTACAGGCCAGAGGTGTGGGGGCGGTGAGAGGACTCACCAGAGACACAGTGGGAAGCAGAACAGGAGGATCTACTGAAATACACTGCTGAGGGAGCAGCAGACAAGACAGGAGAGGTCTGCTGTGCTATGTGGGTCAGCTCCCTGGTCGGGGCTTGAACTCATGCTTCAGTGTCTGTGGAGAGCTTCGTAGTGCCACACCTTAAACCACTGTGCCACCAAGGAGGGCCCTGGGACGCCTCTTTAGTTTTCTGGGTGTGCAGGGTGGGTTTGCTATTCAGCTGGTGCTGGCCAGTGAGGCAGAAGTCGTTACTAAAATACTGAAATGTTTCTGAGCCAACTGATAAACACCCCTGTCTGTGAGCATCCTCTGCTTGCTGTCCAGGCAGGCTGGCTCCTGCCCTGGTGTCCTGTGGGTGCTCCCATCATCCAGTAACCCACAGGCTAACCCCATGCCTGCGGGGTCTCGAGGAGGACCACTACCTATATCCCTGTGCTGGGCCTGATGGGTTGCTACACATGAAATAACTTTAATAACCCCAGGGGGGATGCACCCACACAGAGTGGCCCCTAAGTGTTAACAGTAAGTACACTGAGCTCTTGTTTCCTTCCACCTGGCCCACAGGCCAGGGCCAGAGAAGGCTTTAGTGTGGGATAAACAGAAAAGCACCTTTGACTCATTTGTTCCCTGACAGCCCTCCTCCCGGAGGGCTACCTGTCAATCAATCAGCCCTTTCCTGCTGTGAAGAGAGTCACCTGAGAACTTCAAAAACCTTTTTTCCCCTTTCAGAAGTCAATCCTGAGTGACCCTCAAAATACTGTCTTGGGTGTGGGTGTTAAGGTGCCCAGAGCAGAGCCCACACACTGGAAGTGGCTGGGTAAAGGGGGGCGGGGTGCACTCCCAGCACAGAAGGGCAGCTGGGATCTGGGTCCCTAAAAGCATCATGCTCAGGTAAACCAGCCAGGCGAGAAACCGGGACAGAGCTCCTGATTCCATGCCTGTGAATGAGTCCACTTCCACGAAATGTCTAGAACAGGCAAATCTATAGAGACAACAAGGCGGATGAGTGGTTGCCAGGGCTGGGAGTGGGGACAAACAGTCCTGATTGTAAGTCAGCACAACGGCCCTTTTCAGGATGATGGAAATGTTCTAGAATTAGATTGTGGTGCTCTCGGCACAATTCTGTAAATTTGCTCAAAGTCATTACGTCTACACCTAAAACAGGTGAACTATATTATATGTAAATTATAGCTCAATAAAGATGTTAGGAAGAAGGAGAGAGAGAGAATGCAGATAAGAGTGTTGGGGACACGGGGTGGCAGGAGCGGAAGCTGGGAATGGTGGCGGGAGGGGGAGGTGACGGGTGGAGAAGGAGGTGACTGGGCAGGAAGCAGAATGTTAATGGAGGGGAGGAAACAGTAAAAAACGCGCAGGAAAAACAATTCTTGCTCAAGGTTTGCCCTGAGAGCTGCACAGCTCTCTAGTCAATGAGTGAAGCTCCCAGGGCCGGAAACACCTATCCCGTCGTCCGGACACCTGATCCACACGGCGCAGGTGTGGGCCCAGTGTTCCTGGCCAGAGGACAGCGACTGTCCCCTGTGGGGGAGAGACTTGAAATGAGAAGCCCACTTTTACGCGTGTGAAGCTTCTTCTCAGCTGAAATGCTCAATAAATCCTGTGAAATCTGGACACTCACAAATAATCCTTCCTGCTTCAAGTCTCAATTAGAGACCGAATCTGCTTCAGTTCTGAAGAGGAAAAGCCTGAGTCTGCCAGCCCCTCTGGTGCCCTTCAGGCCACGCTCCCTGCGGTGGGGTCTCAGGCCCGAGCCCCCTCCCCGCTACGTCAGGACAGGCCAGCAAGGAGGCCTGGGGTCTGGCTGGGTAGTGGATGTGAAGGGGGAGTGCCCACCAGAGGACCTCCAAACCCTGTTCTGGGGCCCTGGGGGTACCAGGTGGCGGGCAGGAGGGGCAGGCAGCACTCGACCTGCCCAGCAGCCCCTGCGCGTATGTAAGTGCTGGGAGGCATTTTTCCTTCGGACCTTGATCAGGTCTCCAAGAGGGATGAGTCTTGGCAAAGTCACAGCCAGTTTCCCTGGCTCTCATGGGGGACACGATCACAGATAAGCTTAGTAACCCACAATACATCCAGGTCCAGGATCTTCAAGTGACACATGAGGATGCCCAGATTGCTACCTCATTTTCTTTTTAGTATTTGCCAGGATTAGGGAGCTGCTGCCCCGGTCAGCTAGATCCTGAGTTATGAGGGTGGGTGCCTAGAAAGAATCATGTTTCTGGGTTAAGCAACAAGAAAACAAAGCTATCTGATGCTCCTGTACAGTGCGGGTAAGGGCCTGACCACCTTCCTGACCATCGTGGTCTAATCTGGTCTAATCTGTCCTCCACAGGCCAAGGCCCCAGACCAGTGCTGATTTCTATGCTGAACTACAGGACAGGTGTGTCCTCTGGGAAGGCCTGGGTGTCTTGCACAAGTGAACCAAACGTGTGTGCCTGTCAGGGTGAGAGGAGAGGGTCCACACCTGTTTCCCCAAACAGACCCTCCCAGGGAGGCCCCACCCAGAGGGTCTCCAGGCTCCTGCTTCCCTCTTCATTACCAAGTGATTAGAGCTGCAAGTTCTCAACCAGCCACTGGGCCTGTTTGCATGGATGACATGTGCAAGCCTGGACTGGAATGGCTTCTAAAAAGGAGAGTTTCTAAAGTGCTCTGCAAGGCAAACCAGTGGCAGCTGCTGTTTAAAAGAGTTTGATTGACGCTGGGAATTGCACATATTTTTGAGTCAGGAACACTCATGACAATCAGGGAAGACTCAGTCAGATGTGGAATCACATGTGAACATGCGAGCTGTCTCTGTCCACCCGGGAGGCCACACTGCTGGCCCTCCCCAGGGGCTGCAGGGAAGAGACAGGTGAGCAAAGATGGGCCCTACTGGGGTGCAAGGAGAGTCATCAGGAGCAGAGTCTGGGGATGGAAGTAACAGGGCAGGAAGGGGCCAGCAGGACCAGTCCAGCAGTTTCTTCTCTGTGGTCACTGGCCAAGAGACTGGGTGGCGATCAGGACCACCAAGATTCAGCCTCTACCTTGAGGGTGTCTGTTTATGGTCTTTGCCTGTGCCTCCGGTGAAGAAGTGGCTCATGGCTCTTATGGGTCTCTCCCTGCCTCAAAGCTCTCAGGCTCTTATGTGGTCCAACCATTCTTTCCTGTCGAGCCCCTCAAAGTACAAGGACTCTCCAGTCAGCTGTGACCTCAGTCCTGAGTTCTTATACAAACTGGGGGTCTGCTCTGGCTCTGAGGGCAAGCCAGACGCATGCCGCATCACTGCAGGGCTGCAGGGGCAGCTTGCGTGGCAGCCCTGAGCCTCACAGTGCTGTATGGAGGGAGGAAGCCTCGACCCAGGGCCAGAGGGGCCTTGCCGCGCCCGCTGTGGGTAGCCTGGTCAGTGTGGAGAGAGGAGGCAGCTCCCTGGGGTCCCTGAACTCCCTCACCGACCTGCGTCATGTAAGTGCAGGGCAGCTGGGCTCTGCTCCCAGCCCCTGGGAGAGACTTGCTCCCTGTCCTCGGAAATACGCACCACGGCAGCGCTTTGGGCGTCTTCAAGGGAGACGCTGGGGCTGTGTGGAGGTCGCAGCCTTTCCTCTTTGTTCTGGCTGGTGGGGCATGGAGTTTGCTAACACGGACTTGGCTGGGGGTTCTGGCTGGAGCCTGGTGTCATGAAGAAGAGTGCGTCCCACGTCTCGCTCAGCTTTACAGAGGCCCTGGGAAGCCCACCGGATGGTGTGCTGGGGGGTGGCCATTTAGGCCTGCTCAGAGCGGGTGGCCTGGGAGCCAAGTGCCTCCTGGCCAAAGGGGCAAGTCTGCCCGGGACGTACTGACGTTGCTCTCCAGCCGCTGGGAAGAGGCACAACCTTGTTAGGTAACAGACTGTTAATGGACAGTGAGTAGAATGCCTTCGTTGCCAGCCTGTGGGATTGGCAAACCTAATTAAGTCCAGTTAATGATTTGAAATAGCTGACATAAAAGGTATGTGTGAATGTGGACTGAGGAGGAGGAATGTTTTAGGGAGAGGGCAGGACACTGGTTGGCCTGGGTAAAGGCATTTCACTGGGGATGGTGCTGCCTCTCGATTCCTCCACCCGCCTGACAGGGAGTGGGCTAGGAGTGGGGTGCTCTGCCTGGGAGTGGGCCAGGAGGGGGGTGTTCTGCATCCCTTTCCATGGCTGGGGCTTGTTTGGGCTCTGGCTGCTTAGGGGAGAACTGGCAGATGGTGCGGAAAAACACTTTCTCCCGTTTCTCACTGTGCTGATGATTTACTCGGCAAAAGTCTCCTAAAATGGACTCGGGCCTTGGTGTGCATTTCTCTGAGAATAGCGAAAGTGACGAAAAAGCCCTGAAGTATCTGTCTCGTTATCTGTGTCAGCTGCTGTTACCAGTGGGCGAGGAGGGGCTCTGGGCTCTGGGCTCCAGGCTGACGCTGGCCCGGACTCGGGGCGTCCCTGGCTCCTGTGCAGTGAGGAAGGGCAGACAGCAGGGAGCACCCTCTCTCCCCAAGTTCCACTCCCAGGGTAACGCCTGACTTGGCTGCCAGCTGGGCACAACAGCACCAAGAGCAGAAAGGCAGTGCCAGGTGAGTCAGTGTTGCCCAGCGCCCTAGAGACTGTTCATGGTGAATCAGCCCTTGAGACAGGACCCTTTAGGGGTGCACAGGGGAGAAAAGGAATGTTCAGGCT